ATATTTTAGTTCTGCTGAGCCAAATAAGACAGGTCAGGGTGAAGAAGTGACAGCCAAAGAAAAGCTTACCACAAAACTGAAAAGTTATGACAAATCAGACTATAAGACAAAAAGAAAGTGCAGCTTTATGGTTTCATGGACAAAGAATTTCTGTGGCTGCAATATGACGAGCTAAATAACCAGGGGTGCACATAGGTGGTCCGCAGGTGCGCATTCGCTGTCAAAATAAAAAACGCGCACAAGATAAGAAGTTGCAACGTGTGTTTGCGTACATAGGATTTTCTGGAGGAGGACAGACATTTGTTTAGAACTCTTAAAGATGTCGAAGAAACAAAATCCTTTAAGCAATTACTGTGGTGTTCCTCCACCTCCAAACAAATGTCAGAAGGAGTGCGAACCGCAAAAGAAGCGCGTATTCTCGGAAAAGTGGTTGCAGGAGGTGAGCTGGCTTCAAACAAGTTGTGCGCGCAGAGATGTGGTGCAGAATGTGCCGTGAAAATCCCACTCTAGCGGACAAAACAGTGCCTTTTATATGGACACAAACGCGCGTTGCAACTTCTAATCTGGTGCGCGTCTTTTATTTTGACAGCGAATGCGCACATGTGGACCACTTATGTGCACCCGTGTAAATAACATAATGTTCTGCCGGGTGTGTTGTTGGTTTTCTCTCGATTTCTGAGTCGACAAGCGCCTTTGTTACTGGGACCAGTCATTTTAAGAAAGGCCCCCATTAGAACCCATGAGAAATGAAAGAAATGCATTACTGCTTAGTCTGCAATATCTTTCCCAGAACAAACACCAATTGCAAATAACATACTAAAAATAAACCTGAAAAATCTGTTTAGAACAGCGTACTATGTTGCAAAGAGTGAACTACCACTGGCACAATTTAGCAGTCTTTGCAAACTTCAAAAAGCAAATGGCCTCGATCTTGGTTCCACTTGTCTCTTACCCGTGACTTCAGTGGAAATTTCAAATTCAGGATCTGACACAGACTGAATTATGTCCTACACAGTTCTTACAAGTTCATAGAAATTTCTGTTCAATTAGAACCAAGTATTTGAGTTGATGTTTGTAATTTTTATACAATGTTGTAATTTGTGTTTCAACAATTTTTTGATTAATGTTTTGTTTCCTTTACAATATTATACTTTAATGTATAATATTGTAAAGGAAACAAAACATCAATCAAAAAAATTGCTCTTTTTTTTATTCTGGCTACTTAAATTTATTTTGGGCGAATTTTGTGTATCGTTGCACCCTTAGTTTTCGGATATGTCTGTTACCCACCAGCTCGATAGCTAGCCGGGGTTCAAGGCTCACTAGAGCCGGTGAGAACACCAAACTCCCAGAAAATCGTTTTCAAACCCACTGTGTTTGGCTTTTTTCAGTATTTTATTTGTTCCTGAGTAAATTTGTTTGGCTGAGATTAAAGTTAGTTTTTACACAGCTGAATAAACGTCAAGCAGACAACTGCTTATCAGAAGTGTGAGATGCTCGAGAATATACTCCAGTGTCCTGTTATATTTTAGATAGCAAGGAGCAAGGAGCAGACGGCTGAGTTTATTAAACTCCACCGAAACAATCTGCAAATTTAATTAAAATTTTATAAACTAACATCTTGTCTTTATTTTTAGTTAGCACATAACTTAAACACTTAAAGCTGTAATCTAATGATAGTTAGATAAGAGCAGATGCATGCTGGTGCAATGAGCTGTACATTTTACATCCAATGGATGCATGATCTGATTAGTCGACTAATCGCAAAAATAATCGGTGACTAGTCGACTATCAAAATAATCGTTTGTGGCAGCCCTACCTTCCTACTGCTAATACTACACAGATTTAGCACATGTGCTCATTATTTGTACAAAAAAGGTCCAGCAGAGAAGGGAAAAGCTCAGTTTGATGTGCTTTGGAAGGATCTGTAGAGCTAGTAAAACTCACCTGTAAACACTGAGGATTTAAAAGGAGAATGCTCCTACATGAATCCCAGAGATTCATGTTGGATAATGCCATGAACAGTGCCCTCTACACTGCCACTCATATCACTAAATTTAACACTGACATAGTGACAGGACTATGCAACAGCTACGCTTCAGTGTATGAAAACTTGACATCTAACAGGAATTACAAGTCAAATTAAAGGACGATGGTGGCAGGCACCATCTGAGAAACCTGATACCAACTGTCCAACTAGCTTACTCATTAGCACATTCTGAAAGATGTCAAACTTGGTGCAATTACAGTTACAACCAACAGTGATGGAATATTTTTTTTCTCCTTCCTACAGAAGTGTTAAATGTCAATTGTTTTCTATCAAACAAGGCACTTTTTATAGTTACAATGTTTAATATAAAAAATGTCACTGGTCAAGACAAACATGGAGAAAATGATCTCACCACTGTCCTCTGTTTGTTGGGGAGGTAGACTCGGATGGTTCCTCCACCTCGGGGTGGATCCTCTGGACTGGTCTCCCCTGAGGAGGAGTAGGAGGAGGAGGTGGAGGACATGGTGAGAGGCAGGAGGGAATTGGGGGAGGGCAGGGGGGGAAGGGAAGACACAGTACTTGGACACCAAAGCCTCAGGAGAGCTTCATGCACAGTGGGGTCCAGAGGAGTTTTGCCCTTTACCTAGAACCTACACAAACACAAAAAGAATATGAAAAAGTGCACATAGGTATGATAAAATTGATAACGCACAGACTTTAACTACTTTTATAAACATTAATAGGTAATTAATGTTAGAAGAATACTATAAATAAGTTTTTGGTCGCTCTCTTTAGGGGTTGTACAGCAGAAAATCTACCTCTGATAACCCTTCCCTAGCATCCTCATCTATCACACGAACCCTCTGTACCCCTCTCCTTCACAACATCCCCAAACCTTCCTCTTTTCCTCCTTGTCTAGAAGATCAGTCTTCAACATCCTGTGTTCACCATCACTCCTCCGCACATATCCAAATCAACTCAGCCTTGGCCAACTTTGTCTTCAAACCGCTCAACCTGAGGTGTCTCTTGGATGCACTCATTTCTAATTTTGTCCATCATAGTCACTCCTAATGAAAATGTTAACGTCTCCAAACTATACATCATAGCAGCTCTCACTACCATCTTGTAAACACCTTTCAATCTTGCTCCTGTCCTTCTGTCACGAATCTCCCCTGGCACTCGTCTTCCCCCTCTTTTACCATTTCTTTTGGATAAAAATCAATTAAATTAGTAAGAGGGAGTGCTATTTTCTGTCTCAACTACTGTACAACACGCTAGTAAAAACTTTCAAGTTTAAAAATCACATACTTTAAAGTGTTGTTGAAAATAACAGTTGTTTGATTAACCCAAACACTGAAACCTCGCGAAAGCTTTTTCCTGAGTTTTGAATTGTCCCATATACCGGTTAGCTTGTAATCCAGTGGCACCAACAACTAAGGTGTTCGCAAAGTGGCCTACAGGAGCAAGAACTAACTTTTTCTAAACGTTGTAGCTCATATTTGAGACCGGGCGAGCTTGGAATTAACATTGAAACAAACCGCTGACAAACAAAGTTGCACATTTGGTTAACAGCCGAAAGATGCTAACGCTAGCTCATATTAGCCCGGTAGCCTAGCATGGGATTCGACTGCCTTGTAAAATGACATTTCGAGTTTGGGGAAGCCATGTTCCTCTTGGAGCGCGAGTTAATTGTCTCCGGCTAACTAGCTGACTGCCTTTCAAGGTAATTTGTAGTAAGGAGGTGCGAAGCGATATAATAAAAACATAATTCCTACAAAGCAAAGTAATCAGAGTTTTCGGAAATTCCTCTTCGCTCAACCAGCTAGCAAACTAGCATAGCTAAGCATTAGCATTAGTTGGAACGGGAGAGATTATGTGGCTGCTTTAGTCACTAGCGCAGTTTACAGTTAAAAGCTTTAACGCGAGTCCCAGCCTGCTAAGGTTAGCAAACTTAGGGGTTTTACCACGGCGTCAGGCTGGTGCCTACTTAAGAGTCTCTTTTCAGATATGCAGCCAATAATTTCCTTGACATGCTCAACACAGGACGGTCCAGATTGTGCTATGCAGTGCTTACGGTGACAGCAAAATCTCCTTTCGTGTCAGTGTTCTGAAACAGTTGGGATAAATAAAAAGTTAAACTCGTACCTGTAACGGCCATCTTGAATTCTCGCAATCTGGAGGCGAATCTGTCAAGAACTTCAGGGGAAAGCGGAAAAACTCCATAAATGCTCTGTGCTCATTGGTCAACTTCTGTAGGCGCGTTCTTTCATTGGACAGAAGCTGCAATCCAAACGGTGGGAGATGCTGTGTAACGACACACATGTATACTACAGCAAGAGTATAGACACCTGTGATTATTGTTCAGCGTTAAAACCGGTGGAAATGACAAATGTTAATCTGTTTTGTAATTATATTTTGATCACGAGTAAATTAATTAATTTAAAAAACTGTTACAAGATTGTACTAGGGTTACTGACACAAGTATAAATGCATACTAGTGCACTGTTCAGACACTTGACACATATTTGCGGATTTGTCATTTTGGCAAACTGGTACTGAAAAAAGGATGAAAATCTCTGTGGTGAAATATAACTTTAAGGAGAGAGAGACACAAAGGGTGACAAAAGAGAGGAAAAAAAGCACACACAGGTGGAATACATGTTATGGTTTAATCTGAAAGAGACAGGAGACTGTAGTGGCAGGGGAGAATGTAGTTAAGGTAGCAGTCTGCAGAACGACTTCGGACATCAAAAAGAGGAAGTGAGCAAAGGCAGAGGCAAGACAGACAGCAGGTCCAGCTGGAGGTGGCAGATGCGAAGTCGAGAATGCGAAGGTTTTCACTGGAATGATCAGAGTGGATAGGATTAGAAAGGAGTACATCAGAGGGGCAGCTCAGGCTGAGCGGTTGGAAGACCAAGTTAGAGAAGCAAGGCTGAGATGGTTTGGACATTTACAGAGTGACGGCAGATATGTTGGACAAAGAATGTCAGCCAGGAGCAGAAGGCAAAGACCCGAAGGCAGATTGGTGTGTGTGTGTGTGTGTGTGTGTGT